TAAAAGGGTTGGATCTTTATCCCCTTATATGGGCGGACAAAAACATGTGTCCCCACCGGCCTGGTAAAATTGGCTTATCTCCCCAGCGCCGCAATCAATGGCGCGGTTGGGTTACCCACGTCCGTATTGATGGGAATCCCGGAATAAGGGGAACACGATCTCTGCTTCGACAAGACATGCCAAGGAAACCGCTTCGCTAAACGCGCTGAGGTGGTACAATAAAAACGATTCAAGTAAAGGCTTGGTAGTGGTGTGATGTCACGCCAAAAAACGTGTCGGCAGATTGAACTGGTGTAATATTATTCTCCCTACGGTGGTACGTGGAATTTATCTTTGCAGAGCCGGACACTATCCTGGTGTTCACAATCTTCTATAAATTATTCGGAGGAGGAACCCGCCTTGCAATGCCGAAGACAATATGCGCACCGGACTCATCGTCATTGAAGCCTGGTTCAGGGGCTACTGAGGGAGTCCTGGACTAGGGGGTGTCCGGATAGCCGAACTATCATCATCGGCCGGACTCCAAGACTATGAAGATACAAGATTGAAGACTTCGTCCCGTGTCCGGATGGGACTTTCCTTGGCGTGGAAGGCAAGCTTGGCGATACGGATATGTAGATCTCCTACCCTTGTAACCGACTCTGTGTAACCCTAGCCCTCTCCGGTGTCTATATAAACCGGATGGCTTTAGTCCATAGGACGAACAACAATCATACCATAGGCTAGCTTCTAGGGTTTAGCCTCCTTGATCTCGTGGTAGATCCACTCTTGTAACACACATCATCAATATTAATCAAGCAGGACGTAGGGTTTTACCTCCATCAAGAGGGCCCGAACCTGGGTAAAACATTGTGTCCCTTGTCTCCTGTTACCATCCGCCTAGACGCACAGTTCGGGACCCCCTACCCGAGATCCGCCGGTTTTGACACCGACACCGACCCTTAGCTCGGAGCCGACTGCGCCGATTGAGGACGGATGGCTGGACACCGCCTCGGGGGCTGCTATCTCTATGGCGATTGAGCCGAACACCAACCCTGTCCTTTGCGAAGCTCGTGACTCCAAGGTGCCGGACTCCTCTCCGGACTCCGAACCTCCCGCGCCCCTGCCAATCGAATCCGATTGGGCGACGGTCATGGAGTTCACTGCCACGGACATCTTTCAGCACTCACCCTTTGGCAACATCCTGAATTCACTAAAGTCTCTCTCTTTATCAGGAGAGCCCTGGCCGGATTATGGTCAGGAAGGTTGGGATGCGGACGACGAAGAAATTCAAAACCCACCCACCATATTGACATACTTATGTTAGACTCCTGCGTACATCTTTTTAAGATCCTCAATTCGGCTTTTCTTTCCGAACACCAAACTGAGCATCAGGGGCTACTTTCTATGCGGTAATATTTTTACATATCTTAAATACATACCTCAAAGCCTGTTAGAAGGCTGGCGCAGGCTTCAGTCAGCCCACTCTTGGCGGACTGAACTTTCTGGATCACCACACTCATAATAGTGCGGTGCTCCTCGTCGATGGAGGCGCCGTTAAGCGCCTCTAGCAAATTATCCGGTGCCTCCGGTTGGACGGAGGTCACCGGTGTCGCAGTCTCGCCCTTCTTATGAAGGGGCCGCCCGCCGGACTCCGGAACCACTGAAGGTTCTAGTGCGGAGTCCGACCCAGGGCCAGACTTAGAGCCCTTTGGGGTTTGATCCCCCTTGTGCCTAGAGTTCGGGAGGTCGCCTTGCGGTGCCTCCGGGACCTCCTCCTCCTGGGTAGCCCCCTTTTGGGACCCCACCTCAGCGTTATCCGCAGCACGAGGAGAGGAGACGGCCGGAATTGAAGTGCTATCCACGTACGATGGCGCCAGGGAGCCGCTCGTTGAAGTGTCGAGCCCGTCCTTGGGCGGGCTGCAGGGTTATATTTGGCGTTAAGAAATTCTATGCGACAAACGAAACACCATGAGTCATTCTGGTATCCGGACACTTACAAAGTCGCCAGGGGCTTAGTCCTTGGTGGCCACTCCTCTTCATCATCGTCGGCGTTGGTGGAGTAGTCCGGAGGGAGGGTCCTTCCGTTCTTGGACCCTTCGGCCTCCCCCGTTGGGGCGGCCTTCCTTTTCTTCTCTCCCCCCGCTGGGGGAGAGGCCTCTTTTTCCTCCTCCTCGCCTTTGTGGGAGGAGTCCGCCTCGGAGTCGTCGGACGATCAGTCCGACAACACCTGGCGCTGGGAACTCTTTCAAGTTCCCGTGGCCTTCTTCTTGGCCTTCTTCTCCGGCACCACGTAAGGTGCCGGAACCAGCAGCCCCGTCAATCGGGCGTCCGCTGGGTATTCTGGCAAGGGAGCCGGACAGTTAACCTACCCGGACTTCTTTTGCCAGGCCTGTCAAAGGCAACGGAGTTTAGACCCCGCATAGAGTCAAACTATGGAAAATAAACGTCTTGTAAAGGGTAAAATAGCTTACCTCGCCGGCTTGACGCTGCGAGCTAAATCCGCGATCTTCGGTAGCGGATGCGGGAGCCTCGACGCCCTTGAACAGCACCTTCCAGGCATCTTCGTACATAGTGTCGAAGAGTATGCTCAAGGTTTGGTGCTGTGCCGGATCAAACTCCCACAAGCTGGAGGCCCGTTGTTGGCACGGGAGGATCCGGCGAATGAGCATGACCTGGCCTATGTTAACGAGCTTGATCTTCTTGTTCACAAGGTTTTGGACGCAGGTTTGGAGTTCGGTCAGCTCTTCTGAATTACCCCATGTCAGGCCCTTCTCTTTCCAGGAGGTGAGCCGTGTGGGGATGCCAGATCGGAACTCGGGGGCTGCTGCGCATTCTGGGTCACGCGGCTCGGTGATGTAGAACCACCCTGATTGCCACCCTTTGATGGTTTCCACGAAGGAGCCCTCGAGCCATGTAACGTTGGGAATCTTGCCCACCATGGCGCCTCCACACTCCGCCTGCTGGCCCCCCACTACCTTCGGCTTGACATTGAAGGTCTTCAGTCATAAGCCGAAGTGGGGCTTGATGCGGAGGAAGGCCTCGCACACGACGATGAATGCTGAGATGTTGAGGACGAAATTCGGGGCCAGATCGTGGAAATCCAGGCCATAGTAGAACATGAGCCCCCGGACAAATGGGTGAAGTGGAAAACCTAGTCCGCGGAGGAAGTGGGTGAGAAACACCACCCTCTCATGGGGCCCGGGGGTGGGGATGAGCTGCCCCTTGTCGGGGAGCCGATGCGCGATGTCGCTGGACAAGTATCCGGCCTTCCGCAGCCTCTTGATGTGCCCCTCCGTGACAGAGGAGGCCATCCACTTGCCTCCCGCTCTGGACATGGCTGGGGAAGGTTGAGGCGAGATGTGCGGGCTTGGGCGCTGGAGCTTGAGTGCGTGGAAATGGATAAGCAAAGGAGGAAGAAGGCGTAGGTAAAAAAGGTGGATCCTTATCCCCTTATATGGACGGACGAAGCTATGCGTTCCCACCAACCTGGTAAAACTCGCTTATCTCCCAAGCACCGTAATCAATGGCGCGGTTGGGTTACCCACGCCCGTATTGATGAGAATTCCGGAATAAGGGGACACGATCTCTGCTTTGACAAGACGTGCCAAGGAAACTGCCTCGCTAAACGCGCTGAGGTGGGACAGTAAAAACGATTCGAATAAAGGCTTGGCCGTGGTGTGATGTCACGCCATGGAATACGTCAGCAGATTGAATTTGTGTAAATATTATTCTCTCTTCGATGGTATGTGGAACTTATTTTGCAGAGTCGGACACTATCCTTGTGTTCAAAATCTTCTATGAAGTATTCGGAGGAGGAACCCGCCTTGCAATGCCGAAGACAATATGCGTGCCGGACTCGTCATCATTGAAGCCTGGTTCAGGGGCTACTGAGGGAGTCCCGGACTAGGGGGTGTTCGGATAGCCGAACTATCATCTTCGGCCGGACTCCTGGACTATGAAGATACAAGATTGAAGACTTCGTCCCGTGTCCGGATGGGACTTTCTTTGGCTGGAAGGCAAGCTTGGCGATACGGATATATAGATCTCCTACCATTGTAACCGACTCTGTGTAACCATAACCCTCTTCGGTGCTTATATAAACCGGAGGGTTTTAGTCCGTAGGACGAACAACAATCATACCATAGGCTAGCATCTAGGGTTTAGCCTCTCTGATCTCGTGGTAGATCTACTCTTGTACTACCCATATCATTAATATCAATCAAGCAGGAGTAGGGTTTTACCTCCATCGAGAGGGCCCGAATCTGGGTAAAAACATCGTGTCCCTTGTCTCCTGTTACCATCCGCCTAGACGCACAGTTCGGGGCCCCCTAACCGAGATCCGCCGGTTTTGACACCGACAACTCCCATTCCGATCGCCGCTACGATGCCCTTGTTACACGCAGTAGCTTCAGCTTGTAAAGCCGACGTGAGATGATCCATCTTCCCTGCACACGCAGCAATGACGTCCCCCTGATCCGATCTCATAAACAGCCCCAGGCTCCCCCCCCCCCTTTGCTCCACATGAAAAGCTGCGTCAAAGTTAATTTTGACAAAACCTTTCCTTGGTTTACTCCACCCTGCTATTGTATGCGTTGTCTCATGTTTTTCAGCCTCCAAAGATCCATTCTGAAAATCATCAAGTATTCTGCGGATGTTGTAGGCCACTCCTTCGGTGGGCTTCATCTTGCCGCCATGGTTTGCCTTAAAGCCTATGACTTAATAACCAACAATGACACAACAAGAAAACAAAACAATGAATGAAGAACAACACAGCAAAGCGCGCGAGACCTTCTAGTCAATGTTCTAAAATCAAAAATTATAAAAGGAGAACTCCTTCAACCTACTCTTTCTCAACCTCTTTTTTTCTTTTTTCTTTTGAGGGTGAGTCCTTCAACCTTTCAAGAAAACGAGCAGACAGGTAGGGGAAAAACAAACCAACACATTTCACAAGTTACAGTCGTACCCCGAATGGTTGCAAGCATCAACTCTTCTACCACCGGTCAACGCTCTCATATCAAATGTCCACTGTGTGTAGAAGAGCTCGGACCACGGGCAATGCCCGCGATGGCTGCAGCTGCACTCCAATTGGATCACGTACTCCTATGACATGGTTGACAAACGATCCTCATCCAACTGCTGATTCTCCGAGAGAGAACGAGATGAGGCACCATGATCACCATCGAGCAAGGACGTCCAGCCGAGACACCCTCCGGCTCGCGCTTCTTCTCTTCCTGCTCCTGTCGTCCTCGCAGCTGCGCGGCGCGAGCTCTGCGCCCGGCGAGGCAGAGGCGCTCCTGGAATGGAAGGACAGCCTGCCGCTGACCGCGGCCGCCGCGGGCGCTCTGGGCTCGTGGGACCGGGCGGCCGCCGCCAACTCCAGCTTCGTGGTGTGCTCGTGGCACGGCATGACGTGCGACGTCTTCGGCCGGGTCGTCGGCGTCGACGTGTCCGGCGCCAGCATCGACGGCACGCTCGACGCTCTGGACCTCTCGTCCCTGCCCAGCCTCGGCAGCCTCAACCTCAGCTACAACGCGCTGGTGGGATCGTTCCCGTCGAACGTGTCCGCGCCGCTGCTTAACATCACGTCGGTGGATTTGTCCAACAATAATTTGTCGGGCCCCATCCCGCCGGCCTTGCCTGCGTACATGCCCAACCTCGAGCACCTCAACCTTTCGTCCAACCAGTTCGCCGGCGAAATACCGCCTTCCGTCGCCAACTTGACCAGGCTTCAGAGCCTTGTTCTTGGCAAGAACAGTTTTTCCGGCGGCATTCCGCCGGCGCTCGGTTCCATCTCGAGGTTACGAGTGCTCGAGCTGCACAGCAACCCGCTGGGCGGCGCGATCCCCGCCTCTCTCGGCAAGCTCCGGTCGCTGGAGCGCATCAATGTCAGCATCGCTCAGCTGGAGTCCACCCTTCCGACGGAACTCAGCCACTGCACCAACCTCACCGTCATCGGCCTCGCCGTCAACAAGCTCTCCGGGAAGCTGCCGTTGTCGTGGGCCAAGCTGAGGAAAGTACGGGAATTCAACGTCTCCAAGAACATGCTCACCGGGGATATCTTGCCGGACTACTTCACCGCGTGGACACGTCTCACGGTGTTTCAGGCGGACAAGAACCGTTTCATCGGCGAGGTTCCCGCAGAGGTCGGCATGGCGTCGAGGCTGGAGTTCCTCTCCTTCGCGACCAACAACCTCTCCGGCGAGATCCCGGCGATCATCGGAAGTCTGACGAATCTGAAGCTGCTGGACCTCGCCGAGAACGAATTCTCTGGTACTATTCCACGGACCATCGGCAACCTGACAAGATTAGAGACTCTTCGACTGTACAACAACAAGCTCACCGGCGGGTTGCCTGACGAGTTGCGGAACATGAGGGCGCTGCAGAAGATATCCGTGAGCACCAACATGCTCGACGGGAAGCTGCCGGCCGGGCTTGTCCGGTTGCCAAACCTCGTCTACATCGTCGCCTTCGACAACTTCTTCTCCGGGACAATCCCGCCGATTTCCAGCCGGCAGCTGACCGTGGTAAGCATGGCAAACAACAACTTCTCCGGCGAGCTGCCCCAAGGGCTGTGCTTGAGCGCCTCCCGCCTCATGTACCTTGGCCTGGACAGCAACCAGTTCACCGGCACCGTGCCTGCTTGCTACCGCAACTTGACCAAGCTGGTACGCATCAGGATGTCACGTAACCGGCTTACCGGCGACGTGTCACAGGTCTTGGGATTGCATCCTAACCTTTACTACATCGATCTCTCCGGGAATGCCTTCGGCGGCGAGCTCCCAGAGCACTGGGCTCAGTTCCAGAGCCTCTTGTATCTGAACCTGGACCGCAACAAGATCACCGGGACAATTCCTCCCGGTTTCGGTGACATGGCCGCACTGAAAGATTTGAGCCTCGCTGCGAATCACCTCGCCGGCGCGATCCCTCCGGAGCTCGGCAAATTACAGTTGCTCAATGTGAACCTGAGGCACAACATGTTGTCAGGTCCGATTCCTTCGACACTAGGGAACGTCACAACCATGCTGCTGCTGGACCTGTCTGGGAATGAGCTCGACGGCGGCGTGCCCCTGGAGCTCACGAAACTGGACCGCATGTGGTACCTGAACCTGAGCAGCAACAACCTCACCGGAGCGGTGCCGGCTCTGCTGGGCAAGATGAGCTCGCTGAGCGACCTGGATCTCAGTGGCAACCCGGGCCTGTGCGGCGACGTAGCCGGCCTGAAATCCTGCAGCTTGCATGCCACCGGAGACGGAGTAGGCTCACGGCGACACAACATCAGGCTGGTCCTTGCTGTCGCCCTTTCTGTTGTCGGCGCGCTGCTCTTCTTCGTCGCTGCAGTGGCTCTCCTGCTCGTCCGCAAGAATAGGCGAACCGACGAAGACACGGAGGAGACAACCGCGAGCGGCAGCGGCACGACGGATCTGCAGGCGTCCATATGGAGCAAGGACGTGGAGTTCTCCTTCGGCGAGATCCTGGCGGCGACGGAGCACTTCAACGAGGCCTACTGCATCGGCAAGGGCAGCTTCGGGAGCGTGTACCACGCCAAAGTGCCCGGCGGCCACTCTCTCGCCGTGAAAAAGCTCGACGTGTCGGAGACAGGGGACGCGTGCTGGGGCATCAGCGAGAAGAGCTTCGAGAACGAGGTGAGGGCCCTGACGCACGTCCGCCACCGGAACATCGTCAAGCTCCACGGCTTCTGCGCCACCGGCGGCTACATGTACCTGGTCTACGAGCGCGTCGAGAGAGGCAGCCTGGGCAAGGTGCTGTACATGGGCGGCGAGCGCAGCGGCGAGAGGTTCGACTGGCCAGCCAGGATGCGGGCGATCAGGGGCCTGGCGAGCGCGCTGGCCTACCTGCACCACGACTGCTCGCCGCCGATGATCCACCGCGACGTCTCCGTCAACAACGTCCTTCTGGACGCCGAGTACGAGACGCGGCTGTCAGACTTCGGCACGGCGAGGTTCCTCGCCCCCGGACGCTCCAACTGCACCAGCGTCGCCGGCTCCTACGGATACATGGCACCGGGTACGCACTCTCTATGCACCCCGAGTTGTCCTCCATTACTGCTTTGCTTGCAAGATCACATTTGCCGTCGCGTTTCTTGCTGCAGAGCTCGCCTACTTGAGGGTGACAACCAAGTGCGACGTGTACAGCTTCGGCGTGGTGGCCATGGAGATCCTGACCGGCAAGTTCCCGGGCGGGCTCATCAGCTCACTGTACAGCCTCGACGAGGCGCAGGCCGGTGTCGGCAAGTCGGCGGCGCTCCTGCTGCTCAGGGACCTGGTGGACCAGAGGCTGGACAATCCCGCCGAGCAGATGGCAGCGCAGGTGGTGTTCGTCTTTGTCGTGGCACTATCCTGTGTCCGCACCAACCCCGACGCTCGCCCAGATATGCGCACCGTGGCTCAGGAGCTCTCCGCTCGCCGGAGGTCCACCTTGGACAAGCCGTTCACGGCGATCATGATCGGCGACCTCGTTAGTTCGCGAGTATGACATGTGCTGGTTAGTAGTACCATTTGTACAGGTTTGTATTGTTTTTGGCGATGGTTCTGTATTGTTCATTCCATTCGTATGTTTCGTGTAAACATCGTTGCTATGCTTGACCTATTAGTTTCCGCAGAAGAACGCCTCTGCCTGATTGTTCTGGGATGTGTCTGGTGGACTGGGATCAGGTGACATGCGCTCCGGTGACATGCATGGTGACATGCGGCTCAAATTCAAATTTAAGCATTGCGAAAAAATCTGAAAAAAATCATGCATGTTCACAGCACATATTAAGATAACTCCTAAAAATTTCAGATCAAAATTCAAAACATACATCGAGAAACAAAAAAGAGAAATCTGTCATGAATAGTTCCTGAACGGTTCTCTGTAGACTATTCACATATGAGTTTCTCTTTTTTATTTCTCGATGTATGTTTCGAATTTTGATCTGAAATTTTTAGGGGTTATCTTAGTATGTGCTGTAAACATGCATGATTTTTTTCAGATTTTTTCGTAATGTTTAAATTTGAATTTGGATCGCATGTCACCGTGCATGTCACCGTAGCGCATGTCACCTGATCCCAGTCCGTGTCTGGTAGGTGATCGTTTGCATTGTATTTAAATAAAATTGTGTATAGGGCCCATCTAGATGTGACATCAACTTAGATGGTTGATGTCATCAATTGATTGTTGTGTCTTTTGTTTGTTTGTCTTGGTTTTTTCTAAGGGACACTATGGCTACTTTATTGAGTTGGTAATATGATTACGTCGTTTGCAATGGCATTCACCAATAAATCAGGGTTCATCGACCCCAGGGGCGGAATTGGGCCTATAGTAACTGGGGCTATAGCCCCAGGCGTGGCCCAACCCGTGTTGTAACACCCAGGATAAAATCTGGATATTTGTAGCTCTAAAGAGGCCTAGCCCCATGCGTGAGTGCCCCAGTCCCACGCCTCAGCAGCTCAGCCCATATACCTTCTCAAGTTCTCAGCCCAACTGACATCTCCATCAATAGGAACCCACGAAGCCTTGTGATCCTTTCGCCCGCCCACTGCACGGATGCGATCGATCGCGCGCGTGTAGCATCCCCATTGGCTCGTTTCCTGCGGCGCCGCCCTAGGTGTTCCCCCTCGACAGATGGGACGATCCAGTCCTGCGTAGGTGCACCTGATGCTCGTTGCTTCGTCGAAGCAGCCCTCCTTCAGGCTTCAAGCCTCATGTTCGGCTCCATCTCCACAACCATCTGGACAAGTAATCTCTAGTGTTGTATCAGCTATGCTTTTTCTAGTTCCTTTGTATCACGGGAAACCAATGAATCTCTCTATCCCCCAAAAAATAGCTGAATCCACAAAAGAAATCTGAAACCAATGAATTGCTGATGTTAAATTGTACTATTACTTTAGTCGATTTTGTTAATATTATTACCAATTGCAATGATGCACTTTGTTAAATTGATGATATGAGTCCAAAATTTGTTCTTGTTTTAATAACGAATTCATATTTTATTTTGAATGTGAATTTATGGCGTACTTGTAGGATGCACTAATATGTGTGGTATTCGGTGTTATTTAAAGCCGTTTAGTTTTAGCCCTAGGTTTTGAGAAATCCTGACTCCGCCTCTGATCGACCCACTTACAAGAACTATCACTATCATATGCAAATTTAGCTAAGGGAACGTTGGCTTACGGCGGACCGGCAGCGTTGCGCCGGTCGTGCATCGCTGGATCCGTCGTGATCATACGCACCCGATTAGCGCCACGTCATGCTGCTGCAGGCTCCACACGGACCGCTTCGGTGTTGCCTTATCTCCACCACATAGCGTGTGTAAGGGCATATTTATCCCCAAGGTGTTTTGGTGATTGATGACAATGCTTTTGCGGACTAATCGTGTGCGTTGAGTTTTTCAGAGATTCATCCTTTGGCACGAGACGATTCCCTCCCCTCGGTGTTTTATTCAAGATGGTGTAGCTCCTTCGTTTCTATGTTGGTGGACTAGTTTCGTAGGAGTCACTGTACTATCAAGAGGGGATCCGCTTTGGTAAGGCTAGGGTGGAATCAACACGTACACATCCTTATCACACCCGCTGTACCTTTCCGCTTCAATGGAGTTCCCTTTCCTCTCCTAGCTTGCCCTGACTGGTCCCAGCGGTAGTACCGCGGTCCTCAGCGGTAGTACCGCCAAAGCACATCAAGCGGTAGTACCGCTCCTCAGCGGTAGTACCGCTTGCTGTCTTCGGCCGTAGTACCGCTGAGGCTCCGTGCTACTACCGCCTCGACTCGAGGCCTCTTTTTCTCGTGTCGGGTTGTGCAGTACTAGCTGCGCCAGTAGTAGCGGTAGTACCGCCCCAAGCGGTAGTACCACCCTTACCTCGGCGGTAGTACCGCTCTGGGCCCAGGTCCTTGTTCCCCTCGTGTGCGCGGCAGTACCGCTGGGAGGGGACGGTAGTACCGCTGGTTCAGCGGTAGTACCGCCCGCCCAAGCGGTAGTACCGCTCTGTGCGGGGCTGCTTGGGGGGTAACGGTTGGATTGTTCCCCCCACTATATAAAGGGGTCTTCTTCCCCAAAGTTGACCCACCTCTTCCCCCAAAAGCTTCATTGTTGCTCCAAGCTTCATTTTCGCCCGATCTCTCTTCCTAGCCAATCAAACTTGTTGATTTGCTCGGGATAGGTTGAGAAGGCCCCGATCTACACTTCCACCAAGAGAAATTTGATTCCCGCACTAATCCCTAGCGGATCTTGTTACTCTTGGGTGTTTGAGCACCCTAGACGGTTGAGGTCACCTCGGAGCCATAGTCCATTGTGGTGAAGCTTCATGGTGTCGTTGGGAGCCTCCAATTAAGTTGTGCAGATAGCCCCAACCTTGTTTGTAAAGGTTCGGTCACCGTCTTCAAGGGCACCAATAGTGGAATCACGACATCTCGCATTGTGTGAGGGCGTGAGGAGAATACGGTGGCCCTAGTGGCATCTTGGGGATCATTGTGCCTCCACACCGCTCTAACGGAGACATACTTCCCCTCAAAAGGAAGGAACTTTGGTAACACATCCTCGTCTCCGTCGGCTCCACTCTTGGTTATCTCGTGCCTTTACTTGTGCAAGCTATTTGTGTTGTATCCCTTGCTTGCTTGTGCACTTATTGTTGTTGCATCATATAGGTTGTTCACCTAGTTGCTTATTTAGACAACCTACTTTGATGCAAAGTTTAATTTGGTAAAGAAAAGCTAAAATTGTTAGTTGCCTATTCACCCCCCTCTAGTCAACTATATCGATCCTTTCAGCGTGTCCACTCATTTTTTTCATTCTTCTCGTTGAGGTCGCCGTTTTCGGGGACCTCAGCCTTGGTGATCTTGCCAGTACTGGGGTGCCTGACCCTTCAACAGTCATCACTGCCTTATCCCTCCGCTTTTTTACTGCGCTTCTTGCTCTTCTTCTGACTGGTTGATTCATCATCATCCTCTGAATCAACATTGATGGAATCTTCCTCTCTGGGCAACTTCCTTCCCTCCTCCATCTGAGCACACTTATCCACTAGGGTGTACAACTCCTTCATAGTCTTGGGAAACCGCACGTTCATCTTAGAACGAATCCGGCAGTTGCGCACATTGGACTGGAAGGCGGCTATCACAGCTGCTGGATGGATATTTGGAACATTTCTATGAGCTTCGCTGAATCTCTGTAAATACTTACAGAGGGTTTCTCCTTCCTTCTGTTGGAGAAGCTACAGATCGCTGGGTCGGCCTGGCTCCCGGTGGCCACCGGTGAAGGCACCGATGAACTCGTGGCACAGGTCTGCCCATGACGAAATGGAGTTCGCCAGCAGGTGCATCAGCCAAGAACTCACATTAGACTTGAGGGCCAAAGGGAAGTAGTTTGTCAACACCTTCTCACCTATTCCCCCGGCAGCTTGAACAGCGATGGTGTAGATGCTCAGGAACTCTACCGGGTTCAGCCCCCCATCGTACTTCTCAGGTATCTCTGGCTTGAACGTGCGAACGGATGGCCAACGGACTTGCCACAGCTCAAGGGTAAAGGCAGGGCATCCAACCTCGAAAGACAGGTGCCCACCAATGTCGAGCGTGGGCTCGTCGACGTCGGGGCCGTCGCGCCCACAGGTTCGACGGAGGTTGTCGCGGCGTTGCTCAACAACGCGCGCATCTCCTCTCCGCCTCTCCTCCGGGGTTCATCGTTGGCCTGGACATGCTCGAGGGTCAAAGGAGGCCATTGAGACCTCGTCGGGGTCTTGACTTGGTCGTGCTCATGCTGGCTACCGTGGCAGGGACTGCACCGTGGGGACGGCCCCCTCCGTACGGGCAGCAGCATGAGCCATTGTTGTCGCTTGGGGAGGCCGTGGCGGGTCAGCTCGTCATGAGCCCCCAGCTTCAGCGAAACCGAGTAGACTTTGGATGGTGGCACGCCATTCGTCCATCTACTCGGCCGCTGGCGGAAACCTCAGCAGCAGCTGAGCCCGCGCCATGGCCTCCGAGGCTGTACTTGGCATGGATGAAAATGAAGTCGTTCGCGCCCTCGCTCGGCTCCTGGCGGAGCCAGCAGTGGCAACACTGCACTCTCGCCGTTGCGGTGCAACCACCTGGATGACAGGGTGGTGCGACGGAGGCACTCGAGGGCTAGCGGCTCCGTTGGGCACGGCAGATTGGTCGATTTACCCGGGGGAAGTGCATGCACAGCAGTCGTGCCTATGACAGGGCGGCCGGAGGGTGGCGGTTCGCCCCAGACCGAGTGCCATCACTGCGGCCGTGCCCGTCGGCGAGCGGAGTGTGGCCGTCAAGGTGTTGCCGATGCTGCCCTCGTCCGGTGCCTCCTGCTCCTACTGTTGGAAATATGCCCTAGAGGCAATAATAAAATGATTATTATTATATTTCCTTGTTCGTGATAATCGTTTATTATCCATGCTAGAATTGTATTGATAGGAAACTCAGATACATGTGTGGATACATAGACAACACCATGTCCCTAGTAAGCCTCTAGTTGACTAGCTCGTTGATCAATAGAT